CTTTGTCTATTTTTTTTCCTGGATGTTTGATTGGCCTGAATGTTTTGGGTTTGACTTTTTTTTTTCTGAAAAAGAAACACCAAAACCCCACGCACATCCTGTTGAGTTGAGAAAACTGGTGCTTCTTGACCTGACAAAGTGATTGTTTTCCAATCTGGCAGTGACAAGTTGAAGGTGAGAGCATGACAAGATGCTGAACAGGGAGAGGGCATCAGGGCAGGAAGCTTTAGGGCACAGAGCTCCCAACACTGCTTTATAGAGTGAAAGAAGATGGTGACTGAAGCAGGCAAGGCCTCAGCAGGGCTGTTTTCTAAGATTCTGTGTATTTAGTAACATTTTGGGTTATCTCAAGACTCCTCAGACAGCTCTTTCAGGATTTGGGGGATGAAAGAATAGAGGCATGCTGCTTTTAAAATGTTTAACCTGAAGTAAATTGTTTAATTCCTGAAACCATTTATTATTAAAACTCAAAAGCAAAAGCCACAACTTTGTAAACAGCTAAAATAAGTCTTACTGGACTTATTTTATGGTTGCGTTTATAAATTCTGCATATTACTTAACTGGTGCTAACAAGATAGGAGCCTAGAGCGCATGTCCTGTAAGGCGAGTTTGAGGAAGCTGAGCTTGTTTGATCTGGCAAAGAGGAGACTAATGGGTATCTAGTAGCTGCCTACAATCATTTGAAGGATGGTTAAAAGAATGAGAGCGCCAAAGTCGTGTTGTTCGTGGCCGATGATATAAAAAGAGGCTGTTTGGGAGGTTCATGCTGGAGATGAGTACAAACTTCTTTCCCAGGAGGCTTGTGCAGCCTTGTGCCCAGAGAGGTGGGAGCTCTCCATTCTTTAGTGTTTTCAAGCCTCAGCTGAGAGAAGACACTGATTTACTGTTGGCAACAGTCCTGCTGCAATTAGGAGATTGAACTGGAGGCCCCTTCAACCAATTCTAAATACAATTCAAGACCAACTTTTGCTTGGAAAAAAGATGTGGAAGTTGGAATAATCAATAAGCAGCTTACAACTGCCTTTTTTTTCCCTCACTGTGGTTCAGTTTTTATCTCTGAACAGGCCTGCTCATACCTGTAGCTTAAAACATCAACAGCTACATATACTTTGTAAACTACTTGTAAACACTTTTACAACATGTCATGATATAAATTGTCAGGGAAGTTGAGCAAGAGACCTTCAGAGGTATCTTCCAACCTAAATCACCCTATGCATCTAGGATTGTATCTTTTTATTTTAGTATAAATGTAATAAGAGACAAAACATAAATTCTACAGTGGATCCAAGACAAATTTTAAAATTCAGCAGTGTGTTCCCAGAAGTTTTATGTAACCTGGTAGACTCTTTCTCAGCTACAAGTGAAATACAAGTCTGTGTGACCCCTTCGAGTTAAAGGGGGTTTGTGTGTATTTGTGCAACGCTCTTCACTGTGATTTGCAGGCAGTAAGCTACTGTAGAGCTGGACCTTGACAGATGATGGGAAGGGCCTAGGAAAGGGCATCCCATAGCAGCAACATCTCCAAGGAGTGTCTTGCTGCAAAGGGTCACTTCTTTCTGTTCCAGTGTGAGGACAGAGAGGTAAGGGAGGACTGTGGGTCCTTTTGTGAGCACAGGCTGTGAGACTCATCCCTGCGGAGGGAGGAAACCTGATCAGCTCTAACGTGCAGTGAACAGCCGTGGAGGAACTGTGCTGCTCCTGCCCCGTCATTCCAGACTCCTGATGCTGAAGCTGTGGGAAATCAGGCAGGCAGGAATGAAAGGTGCTGCAGACAGTTGTGTGTGTGGAGGCAGAGACTGGGAGTGAGCTCTTCCATGCATTGGCCTTTCTTGCTTTCTGCTGCATTGCTAGTCCATCTGATTGTCTTTTGCCAGAAGACCCATTGCTCTCTTTTGCTTCCTACCCTTGCTTCGCTGCAGACCACAGTTGCTGCTCCATACTGCTGTGCTGGGAGGGAATCATCTGTGACTTTGACTCTTTTTAATGTTTATTTCCTCTCTTTTTTTTCTTTGCTTGTCCTGGCTGTGGCTTTTCTCGGGGGCTGGGTACAGATGGATCTTTGTGATACTGACAGCGATGAGGAGATTCTGGAGAGGATACTAGAGCTCCCGCTTCAGAAGAACCACAGCAAGAAGTTGTTTAGCATCCCTGAAGTGACTGAGGATGAGGAGGAAGAGGAGGATGAGAAATGTGTTACGGAGGAAAAGGCAAACCCTCAAGACTCCTTGGAAACACTTACCTACCATTCAGGAAGGACAGAGAAGCCGCTCCACATCAACGAGCCATTTCTAAAGGCAGATGGGAGTAATATCTCCATGGATCTGTCTGCTCAGACTCCGCAGGAGGAGCATGGTGTTAAGGACAGCAGAGGAGATGCTGATCATGCGAATCCTGCCTTTGTCCAGCTGGCCTGGAGTCAGAAGAAAGCAAACTGGAGCTGGGGCTACCAGGAGAATGATCCGAAGTCTGGGACTGGGGCAAGTCCTGCTTGGAGCAAGAAGAAGGGAAATAATTATCGAGAGAAGATCCGGAGTCAACCAGAGATGGGTAGGAAGAAACAGAATGATTTAACAGAGCACTGCAGTCGTCTGCTGGGCAACTGCAGCCAGATGGGAGGTGGGTTATACAGAGCTCCTAGCCTCAGGGAAGAGCTGAACATTGTGAGCAGTGCTAGTGGTAAGGAGGGGTTTGATATGTACAGTCGTGCCAGACAAGGCACCTTACGAAAAAAACACAGGAAAGGAATAGCTTCAGGGTTTGCAGAACCTGCTGTGATGACAACACACTGCTCCAGCTCCAGGAGCCTGGAAATAGACATTGAGTATGACTCTGAAGATGATCAGGATTCAACCTGTGCATCCCCCCCTGAGAGCAGGCTGTGGCCGGAAAGGTCCCAGAGCTGCCAAGGGGACTGGAGTGATTGTTCTAGTCAATCTGAGGTTGCTCACATGGATGGCAGAAGGGGCCTGACCAGACTGGAGATGGTGGAAGAGCAGGGTGTGGAGTGGGCTGGGTCTCCAAGCCGGCGCCTGCGATTCTTCTGCCGGGAGAAGGAAGCACTGAGATGTGAGAGCAGTTCTGAGGAGCAGGGCTGGGAACTGGACTGTAAGTCACCTGGCTGGAGAAGGAGGCTCGAACATCCTTCGAAGGGGATACATAGCACCTCCTTGCACAAAAGGGTTGGGTGACTTTTCCTATTCTGGCTTTGAAGCAGCTTGCAGTGGCATTAGCTTCCCTCTGCTTCCCTGGCCTGCCTGTATCTTGCTTTGTTCAGTGTTGTCCAAAGAAGGGACCCTCGTCTAGGATTGCCTGCAAGAACATCTGAGACATTCTGTAGTTCCGTGCTGCTCTGTGGCTTTTCTTGTATTAGCTGCTTCTGCTTTTCCTGCTAACTGACCGAGCGTCGCTGATGCAGTATTCCTTTTCACACTGGGTCTTCCTCCCCATGGCAGGAGGCTGTGGGAACCAAATGAAAATCCCTGGTGAAATAAGCTGGTTTGTGAAAGCTTTGTGTAGATGATGGCTGTAATGTCATTGCCTCCCCTAGAAATGCCCTTTCCTGCGTCCTCACGCTCACCAAGGGGATCGTCACTGGTGCCTGGCAGGGTCCCTGCCTGTACTTAGTTCTGTTTTCCAACTCTCTTGGTATTTTCAGCTCTAGAGTGTCCCTGAAGAGGAATGTTGCATTTGGATGCATTGCTCTTTGTGGTGTGCGTTTGGGCTGAGCGCTGTTCATGTGAGTCGGAAGGCAGAGGCTGCTACTAACTCTCTGGTGGTTCCTGTTGCAGGCGTCCGGTAATAAAGATCCTAGGGGCCAGGAGCTGCCTGGCGCAGCCGCCTGGCAGGCTCCTAGCAGAAGAGGAAACAAGAGCATAAGAAGAAGCCAAATGCAGCTCTCTAGTCCAGGTGAGTGGACAAGGTGGAGAGAGTCAGGCAGCAGGAGAGAGGAGGGCTATTGGAAATGGCAGGGGAGAGGCTAGTAGGCAGTATTTGAGCCATGCAGGGCTATGGCAGGGGAATAGTGCTGACATTATCTCTGGTGTGTCCCCTGTCCACGCACAGGTCCTCCAAGGAGCGCTGCTTCAGAAATCTCTATTAAAGATGATGGCATTAGAATATTTGTGGCTCTCTTTGACTACGATCCCGTTTCTATGTCTCCTAATCCTGATGCAGCAGAAGAGGAGCTCCCATTTAAGGAGGGACAGATCCTGAAAGTAAGAGCATACCTTAGTAAACATCTCCTCCTCTGTGTGGATCCATCTGATTTTCCAGGGACAGCATAAACCTTGGGAGGCAAAGCCTCCTTCATCTTGGGAGTTTCCTTAGCTTCCCTTTCTCCTTTCTCTGTGCATCTCAGTCCCTGTAGCATAAACAGTCTCTGGCCTGTCTTTTCCCTTGCAGGTATGTGGAGACAAGGATGCTGATGGCTTTTACAGGGGTGAATGTGCGGGAAGGGAGGGGTACATTCCCTGCAACATGGTATCAGAAGTTCAGGTGGAGAATAATGAAATCAAGAAGCAGCTCCTAAAGCAAGGGTTCCTGCCTGCTGACACACCGATGGAGAGCATAGGTACTGTATTTCCTTTATGTGTGTGCTCTGCTGTTGTCAGCATGTTTTTTTTTCTGAAATGTGGAAAGCTCAGCTGTGCTGTCAAGCTGTGTGGCCAGTGCAACCCACCGAAACAATCTCTAATGCTGGTCCCTGGGATCTGAAGGCTTGTTTTGTGGCTGTTGCAGTAGCAAGCACAGTCTCAATGGATGATGGAGGTGGGTGTTCAGAGGTCTCGGTTTGAACCTGACTACTGCAGCACAGCGCAGTGGAGGGAAAACAAGAACAATAACAAAAGGAGCAAACTTCTTTCCATTTCTCTGCAGTGAGACCTAGTATCCAGGGATAGAGACTGAAGGGCTGACAGTGCCCAGGTCCTAAAAGTGGATCTCTGGAAAGTTGATCCCGAGGAGCACAGGAGGTCAAAGGAGCCTATTGCTTTCACTTTGTGGCTCTGTGATCTTTTTTTTTTTTTTTTTTTTTTTTGGTCAGGTTTGTGTTCTTTGGCCTCTCTTGTGTCTCGGGAGAGGAGAGATTTGAGTAAGGCTTTTTGCGCACTTGGGTCATTCATAATGTTTCTCCTGCCTGTGTCTTTTGGTCCCCAGAGATGGCTAGATGCCTGTGGTGGCCTTTGTCCCTATGTGGATACACAAGGCGCTCTGTTCCCTGCCCTGCTGCATACTTGCACAAGAATAGAGGAAGTTAATAGTTCTGAGACTTCTTGAAATGTAGTGTGTCTGAAAGTTTTCAGGAGGCTGGTGGTTGTGAAAAAGACATACCTTAAGTGTGCGTGCAGAGAGTAAACCTCGTTTCCTTAGGCAGCCGGGCTGTATGTACCTCTGTTGTTTTCCTGCTGCCATAAACCCATATGATAGCCTCATAACTAAGAAAATGCCTTGGAGGGGTTGGTCTGGGAACTCCTTCTGCAGGCTCATCTGGGGACTTGTCCAGTACTGACCCTGCTCAGTGCAGAGGCTTTAGCTAGAGACTTCCCAAGGTCGCTTCCCACCTGAGCTGGTGGGGCGCACCTCACCTGGCATTTTTCAGGTGTTAATAGTACAAGGTTTTATTTTATCCTTATGGTGCTGCTTCTGAAAGGTGAAGTGCAGCCAAGTTTGTCTGATGTGTACTGTGGTATGGCTAATGGGCATAAATACAATGTGGATTTCTGTGTGTATTTGGGATGTGGATCATGCCTCATCTGAGTCCACATACGAGAAATGGAGATTTGGGCTTTGCCCATAGAAATCATGGTGTCTGCTTCCCAGGGGAGGCATGTCATGCTACTCTGTTGCTTGTTCACTCTTCAAGATGCTTTTCACTTTCCATTCACTGTCTGTTTCTCTTGTCTATTTATTTGCTTTTTTGGATTTTTATTAAGGAAATGGCACATTTTCTTCACCTCCACGCCGCCAAACCGTCCCTCCTCCAAAACCCAGACGCTCCAAGAAAGGTCTGTGTCACCCACTGCTTCCTCTTTGATTTTTTGCAATAGGATTACAGACTGCATTGAATTTTTACTACTTGCTTACAGGACCCTCAGATGTTTGTCTCTGTACGACTGCTAGGAAGTGGAAAGAGAGCCCATCTCTGTGCTGGTGTTAAGTTTTTAACAACAGTGATGTCTTCTATAGTTGGAGCTTGACCTCTGCTTCCTGTTATGTCCCTGAGTCATGGTTACTGGCATAGACTTTGAGTTGCATGAGTGGTTTGCTGCCGTTGTTTGTTGCCTTGGTCTTTGTTTTTTCTATTGTTGTTTGTCAGCTGTGTTCTGTGGTCACTGTTGAAAGATGAATACCCATTGATGAGATATTTTCTTCCCCCAGCAGGGCTGGATAAACAGGAGAAGTACAAGTCTCATCCAGGTGAGAATTGCTCTTTCTTACTATGAGTAGATACTGCATAATTGTGGTACAGATGTGTTTTGCAGTGAAGGGCCAACAAAAGATTCTGTAGTGCTGCTTCAGAGTACTGTAAGAAAGTGGTCATTCTCATGAAAGAGAGTTTCAGTTCTTTTAATTTAGTAGTGGGTACAGTGGCCTTTGACTTAAGCAGGGAGTATTTGAAAGTGGAGGGCACACATGGTTGTGCTTTGGAGGATCAGGGAAATCTCTTACTCCTCTGATGCCACGGTCCTTAAAATGCAAGGTCCCTTGAGAAGGGTGCGCACTCTGCTTAGGTGCACAGTCATCCATTGATGTCCAGAGAGGCCAAGCCTGCAAACTCCTTGCTAGCCCATCCGGTGTTGACCTGGGTTTAGATCCGCAAGATGAAGGACTGGACAATGTGTGTTTTCTGTAACATGAGACTTTGCTTTTGTAGACTAAGAGCAGGTCTGTAAATAATGGGGCTGAGCAGGCAGGTGGTTGTGAAAATGCAGCATGTTCCCATGAGGCCTGCCCTTCCCTTTGTGCTGAGCTCTGTGCTGCTGATCACAGAATCATTAAGGTTGGTTGGAAAAGACCTTTAAGATCATCGAGTCCAACCATCAACCCAACTAAACCCATGGCCGTTAAACCATGTCCTGAAGTGCCATGTCCGCACGTGTTTTGAACACCTCCAGTGATGGTGACTCCACCACCTCCCTGGGCAGCCTGTTCCAATATTTGACCACGCTCTCAGTAAAGAAATTTTTCATAATATCCAGTCTAAACCTCCCCTGGTGCAACTTGAGGCCATTTCTTCTCGTTCTATCGCTGGTTACTTGGGAGAAGAAACCAACCCCCACCTCGACAGAACCCCCTTTCAGGTAATTATAGAGAGCGATAAGGTCTCCCCTCAGCCTCCTCGAGATTGAACACCCCCAGTTCCCTCAGCTGTTCCTC